TACTGATGTATCTATCTTCTATTCTGTTCAGCAATCCTATACTTGATTAAGCAGGATTAATTGATTCATATGACTGGAAACTCGATTGATTGGATTGAACAGGTTAATTGATAGTGGCGGGTTACGGACCAGCTGAGGAACTTGGTTAGCTGTTGTTAGAAGGTTCTCCTGCCAGTCCGAAGCTCACGTTCATTCCAAACGTTCTGTCTGCGCTAGAACGCTCGTAGTCAGGACCAGGACGCCGCTGCGCCGCCTCGCCCTCTTTAGGGCGCGGGTCGGAGTGGACGGCACGGTGTGGCGTCCTCCAGGCGGGTTGGACTGACGATACGCACTTGGCTTCCAACTGAACGAAACCCAGATCAGGCAGAGCTTTGCGTTCTCTGTCTGGAATCCCACTTGAGATCACATGAGGGTTTAGGAGGTCTATACACAGTGTTAATGTTACTCATGATCTTTGGTTTTGTATTACATTTAGTGTTAACTTGGATTATAACAGGATTTATAAACTTGGTTTATTAACACTGGTTTATACGACATTATAAACACCATTATAACTCGTTCCCCTCATTAAATTATAAACTGTTTATACAATCTTGGTGATACAGGGATTGATAAGAGATGGGTATAAACTTGTGATACAAGTTATGAAGACTGGTGTGATAGAACTGGTTTGAGTGAACGAGATTAGAAACGAGGAATTGAGTAAAGCTGGGGCGCTTTCATAAAACCTGGGTTATACAGGATTCCATTACAACCATGCCGTATAACAGGCATTCATACCAACTGGATTCTATAACTGGTTTAGTAAACTGGGTTTACTTAGCAGGCCACTCTAGTAAACAGTATCTACTAAACCTGGCTTCCCCGTAATCCCTGGTTTCCTATACAGGCATACTGCATAAACAGGATTATACCACACTGGCTTACTGGTTTATACAGGATTATAAACAGGATTATAAACTGGTTTATAAACTGATTTATATACTGGATTATAAAGAGGATTATAATGTAATGTCATCAGACTACCTGAATATATTATTACTATTATAGAAAACTGCTGAATTATTGATCACCTGGAATATTGACGGCGTGAACTCGTCATCAATTGATCGATGAACCTCCACTCTGCTCAGAGGATAAGCCCCGCCCACCGCCTGTAGCTCCAACAGGAACCTGGAACGAGTCGCCCGCGGCAACACACCGTCAAGCCACACCCTCACCTGGGATGAGTTAGCTGTGTGGAGGAGGCGGGGCCACGACTGATCACGCCCCTCTGACTCAAACACCGACAACTGAAAATAATCCAACAGGAAATGACCAGAAACGTCTTTATAAGTTACGTAATCATAATATTAAAAATGATTAATCATTAACCGTTTGACGGGCAGACCTGCAGGCAGACCGATCCGTTGGTGAAGGTCGCGGCGGCGCCACAGAGCAGAGCGCTTGGACCCGACAGGTTGAAGCGAGACCAGATGAAGTCCTGCAGCTCGTACGGCGGGAAGAGGTCGGAGATCGGGTCAGCCGTGTCGTTGACATCGTCGTACTCCAACAACTGAGATGACGAAGACATCAAGAGTTCGGATTAATGCGATAAAAATATTTAACGTGAGTTCATTCAACAGCTTCCTGTCATCACTCGAAGAGAACATTCGGTGGATCAATAACCAGAAAGCAGTAAATATACATGCTGTATTCATTGGAGAATATTAATAATCAATACAGATAAATATTGATCATGTTTCTGACCCTGCTGAAGACGAGGGCGGAGCTGTACACGATGCTGCTCTCTGGCTCCACCTTCAGGCTGCCACTGTGGTTGCGCTCCACAAACTGAGACCACTCCACCTGAGAGACGACAACAACAACAACGTCAACATCAACAACAACATCAACATCAACAACGTCAACAACAACAAAAACATATTTTAACTTTATTTAAACCACTTCCTGTTTCAGGGAGCTGATGTTGCCATAGAAACAGACCTGGACAGTAGAAGAAGAAGTGTTGGTGTGGACGAGCAGCAGCGTCGGCGCCCCCTGGCTGCAGAACAGGAAGTGAAGCGTATCGTTGTCTCCCACGGCTCTCACGTGCAGCAGGTCGCCGCCACGAGGCAGCGAGGGCGCTCCGGGGTTCAACTCTACGGACAACTAAGGGAGGAGCAATGATCAAACACACTGATTGATTGATTCACTGATTGATTGATTGATTGATTGATTAGCAGCTCAAATAAGATCAGATTTTGAACATTTGAGTCAGTTTCTCCTCGAGGAAACAAACATGTAAACAAACACAGATACTAATACACAGTTCAAACAATAATAATAACTGTTTTTAATCTGAATTTAAATATTTAACTGCATTAAATCAATTCAAAGATTTGGATTATAATTATCATGATTAATAAAAATTATATAATTTTTATTTAACAATCTGTTGTTTAATTTCTCAATCGATTAATCAAATGTTTGATTATTAAATAATTGAGTAAACTATTGATCAACTAATTGTTTCAAACCATCTTTAGATTAAAACTGTAAAAAGTGAAAAATGTCCTTCTGAAAACAATCAATAATACAAACAATGTGCACTCTGTTGGAACTATGAAACATATTGATCAGTAATCAGGAAGAACTGTAAACACTTTCACTTCCTGTCCGTCTGCGTCCTCGCGCTCTTTATATGCTCATTATTGATGAATTTATAATCGATATTGGGATATTGGCTCACCTTCCTGCTGTCACTCAACAGACTTTGGCTCAAACTGAAAAGTGAAAAGAGAAAAAAAAGAAAACGAACTCCGCTCCGCTTCTTCCCCGCGGCCGCCATCTTTGTTGTGACTGAGCGCCTCCGCAGGTCACATGACCTCTCCTGAGTGAGTCAGCTGACCGCCAACGGGCCCCGCCCCACGGCTTGGGTTGAAGAAAGAACTTTATTAACAAACGTAGTTTACAACAATCAGCGCAATAACTAGGAAAAGAGATCATATCTCTCCTGTTCTAGCTTCTCTGCATTGGCTCCCTGTAAAATTTAGAATAGAATTTAAAATTCTCCTCCTCACCTATAAAGCTCTTC